TTAGACAGTAGATGGTTCAAACTAATGCTTTGGGTTAGGGCTTTAGTGTGTGTGTGTGTGTGGGGGGGGTTCCTCAGCCTCCTACAATTCATCCTATAGAATGCTGAAGGTTTCTGTTACACTCACTACTGTTTATGAAGCTACTGATATCCAATGAAGGAATGAGGATGCTCTAAGCACGCCTAAGGCTCATTTTACTTCAGCTGCCGGGACAAAGATGTTTGTGTTTGCTGGAGACCATGTGGAGATGGTAGAACCACCAGTCTCCCATCCACTGGTACACCTGGATCTTCTGCTGCATATGCAAGGCCCAAATGTCAATCCCTGACATTTCAAGTTCAAGTTTTCAGAGTAGGTATTGAAAAATGTTTTTCCCTGTCTGAAAACTATTGCATGTCCAGGTAGACAATACCAATCTATTTTGACCAATGGTCCAAGTTGATATAAGCAACAAGAAGTTGATATAAGGCAACTTCATCCACAGTTCTTGAACATTTTTGTTTTGGGAAGCATAGTTCACACCTCTGTAAACTTCCACAACTGAAAGCTTATGTGCTCTTCAAGTGGGTTTGTCCTTGAAAGATAAAAAGCCACAGTTGGTGCAAAACACAGTAGCCCATCTCTTAATTTGAATGGAATCCTGCAAGAATATCTCACCAGTTCTGAAGGATTTGCAATGGTCAGTTGTCTTCCAGCCACCAAGTATTAAGTTACTTTCTTTAAAATGGAACCAGTCAGAAGCAGGGCACTTACAACATGCCTTCCCCAGAGGAGCATGCCAACCCATGGCCCTACCTATCTTTAGGAGGCAGGCCAAAACATCTCTGTTGAGACAGGTTTCCCATCTTCCATAGGGCCTGAATTCTTTGTCAGGCTCCAGGGATCTATGCTGTTTTCCATGCCGTTTAATACTGACATAAGAAATTCAATTTCACTCTGTATACAGAACTTTGGAAAGAAAAAGAACTTTGGACTGAGCAATAAGAGATCGTATAGTGTCTTCCACAAGAAATGTGTACAAAAAAACATGCAGGCATTTGGTCAGTCTTCCTGCAGCTATATCACTCATTTCACTTGGGTAGATTTGTGCATTTAGGTTGTAGAATGTTGCTTATGAAATTTATTAAAGTAATAAAAACATTGATATAAGATCGCTAAGAGATATTGTCTACAATGGGAGACATCAGTATACTGAAACCACTGAGCCACCTATGTCTGTAGAAGTGTCAAGATGCTTTTTGCTGGTCTTGGCAACTCTCTTGAGGCTGAAGTCAAGCAGCTAAGACTGAACAATCTGAAGTTAAATCCAGGTGCAATGGAGGTGATGTTGGCTGGTAAAACGAGTGCCCTGAGCAGGTTTGTGTTGCCTGTGTTAGATGAAGTGTACCTAAAGCTTTTTGTTACTGTCCATGGAGTTTTCTTGGCAAAGATACTGGAGTGGCCACAGGACTGGAAAAGGTCAGTTTACATTCCAATCCCAAAGAAGAGCAATGTCAAGGAATGTTCAAACTGTCGCACAATTGCACTCATTTCACACGCTTACAAGGTCATGCTCAAGATCCTACAAGCTAGGCTTCAGCAGTACGTGGATAGAAAACTGCCAGAAGTACAAGCTGAGTTTTGAAGAGGTAGAGGAACTAGAGATCAAATTGCCAACATTCGCTGGATTATGGAGAAAGCAAGAGTACCAGAAAAACATCTACTTCTGGTTCACTGACTATGCTAAAGCCTTTGATTGTGTGGACCACAACAAACTGACAAGTCCTTAAAGAGATGGGAGTACCAGACCACCTCACATGTCTCCCGAGAAACCTGTATAAGGGTCAAGAAGCAACAGTTAGAACCGGATATGGAACAACTGATTGGTTTAGCATAGGAAAAGTACGGCAAGGATGTATATTGTCAGCCTGCTTATTTAATTTATATGCAGAGTACATCATGCGAAATGCTGACCTGGATGAATCAGAAGCCGGAATTAAGATTGCCGGGAAAAACACCAACAACCTCAGATATGCAGACGATTCCACTCTAATGGCAGAAAGTGAAGAGTACCTAAAGAGTCTCTTGCTAAGAGTGAAAGAACAAAGATCATGGCATCTGGCCCCATCACTCCTTGGCAAATAGACGGGGAAGTCATGGAAGCAATGACAGACTTCACGTTCCTGGGATCCAAGATCACTGCAGATGATGACTGGAGCCATGAAATTAAGACGCCTGCTCCTTGGGAGGAAAGCGATGGCAAACCTAGACAGCATAATAAAAAGCAGAGACATCACCCTGCCAACAAAAGTGCCTTCCAAACCAAGTAGTTAACTTAGGAATGCTTCCTGTAAGGACTCCCTTTCCTATCTCTTATATATAATTGAGTAGTGGTCCCACAATGTTCTATGCACTCCAAAATCAGTTGGCTCCGTGATGTGTCAATCACAAGGTGTCTCTATCCACTGGCTGTGTTGCCTGAGTTCTCTCCCACCCACTGCAGCCTAGGCCACTCTTCTCTGATTGGGCCAGCGTTTCAAGGTCATTTGCATATGGAAGCT